TACTAAGGGAAACCATGACAGGGCAATGAGGAAAAGGAAAAAGGAGTTTAAATAAGTCTCCATCAGATCCTATTGGCCGTTCCCGGCCTTTGACCCCAGAACGTGCGTGCGTGTTTGGGTGGACGTGGGGTTACAAATTTTAATGGATCCGCAGCGGCCGGCGGCCTTCAACATGCTGCAGGAGTCAGATACACCGGTACAGGGCTGCTGAGTGGCACCTCCGTTAATGCCAGAAAGGCATTTATCAGACACCATGATGAAACCTAGAATCAATCATGGAAGAGACTTTATACTCCTCCTGTCCAGAAACAACCAATGGGGGAGGGGGAACACTTGGGACAGTATACCTATTGCAAATAAGTGGTTTGAGCAAGGAAACATGAATGGTATTGGGAATACGGCAGGAAGTGCCAGAGAATAGGAAACAGGATTAATTCTCTGAATAATACAAAATGGACCAAGGAATCTGGGGGCAAACTACATGCTAGGAACTTTTAGTTTAACGTTGCTTGATGATAATCACACCCTCTCACCCACTTGGTAAACAGGGTTGGCACCCTGCCGTTTATCAGGCTGAAATTTGAAACGAGCAGCCGCAGTTTCGAGAACGGAGTGAACTTTGGTCCAAATTTCACGAATAGCAGTGAGGTGATCATCCAGAGCAGGCATAGCTGTGTCAGAGAAAACAGCCGGTAGGACAGTAGGATGACGACTGTTATTAACAAAAAATGGACTATGTCCGGAAGAGTAATGGCTAGCATTGTTCCTAGCAAACTCAGCCCAGGGAAGTAGTTCGGACCAGTTATCTTGTGTGCCATTAACAAAACAGCGCAAATACAATTCCAATGACTGGTTTGCCCTCTCAGCTGTGCCATTGGTTTGGGGATGGTAAGAAGAAGAAAATGACAATTCAATGCTGTTTATTGAAAGCCCTCCAAAATTGAGACACAAACTGAGAACCTCTGTCAGAAACAATATTATGAGGAATGCCATGTAGTCTGACAATTTCCAGGTCTGAGGATGGCAATTTTTTGAGCGGAACAAAATGAGCCATCTTGGAAATGCAGTCAACCACCATAAGGATGGTGGTATAGCCATTAGAACTAGGAAGTTCTACGATGAAATCCATGGACAAATGGGACCATGGAATACCAGGTACGGTAGGAGGATGTAGTAAACCACATCAAAGTTTATGAGGAACTTTAGAAACTGCACATACTGAACAGGCTTTGCACATATTCCTTGACATCTTTCCTGAGTGAATCCGTGAATCCCACCAAAATGATCTCAGGATAGCGGATATGGATTTAATAACGCCCAGATGCCCAGTAGTCACGTTGTTGTGGAACACCCTCATTACATTCTCTCTTTCAACCAACGGAACAAACAATTTATCTCAAGGTTTATTGCAGGGTGCCTGAGACTGAGCCTCCATGATGGCAACGAGCAGAGGGGATGACAAAGAAAGAACAGTGGAAGCAATTATACATTTAGGTGGAACAATAGGGGATGTCTCTTGTTCCTGTACTGATTCAGTGTCAAACTTTCTAGATAAAGCGTCCGCTTTCATGTTTTTAGGGCCAGGTCTGTTAGTTTAATAAAGTTAAAGCAGAATAAGAACAAGGACCATCTAGCGGAATAAGAACAAGGACCATTTACCCTGTCTAGAAGACAGTCGTTTAGCATCACCTATATAAGCCAAATTTTTGTGGTCAGTAATTATCAAAAGGGGGTCCTTGGAACCCTATAAAAGATATCGCCATTCTTTAAGCGCAAGTATAATGGCCAACAATTCTCTGTTACCAATATTATAATACGCTCTGCTTGGGATAACTTTCTAGAGAAGTACCCACATGGATGCTCTCTGACTCTCCCTCTGACTCTCCCTCTGAGACTCTGACTCTCCCTCTGAGAAAAAACAGCCCTCACCCCAGTTTCAGAGGTATCAACTTCCAGTATGAAGGCTTTGCTAGTGTCAGGGTGTACCAAAATGTCAACTGAAGCAAACTATTTTTTAAGAAGTTCAAAAGCTTATCTAGCTTCCTTAGACCATATCGTACAGCTAGCCCCTTTACGTGTCATATTGGTGATGGGGGCTATCACAGAAGAGAACCCTTTGATAAATCTCCTGTAATTATTAGCAAACTCACTAAACCTTTGGATGGCTTTAAGAACATTGGGCAATGGCAAATGTAGAACAGCCTCTAGTTTATGAGGATCCCCAAACACTGTACCTCAGTCTGGTCAAAGATGCATTTTTCAAGTTTGCAACAAAGTTTATTTTTAAGCAAGGTTTGCAGCATGTTTGTGGTGAGTCAGAAGGTCAGGGGAATAAATAAGGATATCATCCAGGTATATTAGGACAAATGAGTAAATATCAATAAAGTTCTGAAATACGGCCGGAGCATTGCATAACCCGAAGGGCAGGGTACTCATAATGCCGACTGCTCGTGATTTTCCTTAATCCTTACCAAATTGTATGTACTCCTGAGGTCAATTTAGTAAAGACTTTAGCACCCTGGAGTCTATCAAACGATTTGAAAATGAGGGGAATGGGATAGGCATTCTTTATGGAGATCTTGTTTAGTGACCTGTAATCAATGCATGGGCGTAATTCACCATCTTTTTTAGATACGATAAAGAACCCTGCACCTGCAGACGAGGATGATTTACGTATTTGGCCCTTACTTAGGGAATCTTTGATGTACTCATCCATTATTCTACTGTCCTGTGGAGATAAGGCATACACTACCCCCTTGGGTGGCATGCCGCCAGGTAGCAGATTTATGGAGCAGTCATAAGATCTGTGAGGAGGTAGAATATTGGTCTGACTCTTACTGAATACCTCCTTAACCTCCCAGTATTATATGGGAACTTCGGAGGCCTGAGGCGTAGTAGTGGGTAAAGTAACACTGCCCACTCTTTTGGTAGTGGGTAACACACATATCTCAGTACAGTCTTAAACCCACTCCAGTATTTCCCCCTTTGCCCAGTCAATATGAGGATTGTGCTTAATGAGCCAAGGAAATTCTAATATGATGGGTCAAGAAGGAGAAGCAATTATCTTGAATATTATGTCTTTCTTATGTAAAGCTCCAATGGAAATGTTAATAGGCAAGGTTTCGTGGGTAATCAAGGGTTGAGAGAGAGGTCTCCCATCAATAGCCTCAATGGCCAGAGGTGGTGATCTCTCCTTGATAGGTATCAAATATTTTTTAACAAAATGTATGTCAATGAAGTTTCCTGACGCACCTGAGTCCATCAGGACTTTGCATGAAAAGTTATTCTTGTTACAAAGGGCTGTAATATCAAGGAGAAATCTATTTTTGTTATTACCAGAGGACGTGTCCCCTTAAGTTTCTTAGGTGCGGAAGTTTACCAGATGTATGGGACAAGTACTCCTCATATGTCCTCTTTTACCGCAGTATAGACACACGCCCTCCTTTCTCTTATATTGTCTTTCTGCCTCTGACAGTCTAATGACCCTTAACTACATAGGTTTGGGTTCGGACTGTACAGAGAGGTTAGGAACAACAGGTCTGAAGAAACGAGGTGCCAATGACATAGCCATACGTCTGGTTCTATTTCTGGTATTTTCTCTGGTTCTAAGTCTGTTTTCAATCTGTATGACAAATGTGATAAACTCATTTAACCTTTTAGGTAGATCTTTGGCAGCAATGTAATCAAGAATTGCTTTGGATAATTCTTCCTTAAATGAAAAGATTAAACTGCTATTAGTCCAGTCTACCTCAGAAGCCAAGGTACGAAATTCTATGGCATACTCTGAAATAGACCAGTTCCCTTGTTTGATACACATTAGGGCAATGGAAGTGTCATCCTCACTGCCCAATGGTTCAAATGTCAATTTGAATTCCACAAGAAATTCCTGGTAGTTGTACGCAATACTCTTATTACTCTCCCATAAGGGATTGGCCCAAGCTAAGGCTTTACCTTTTAGTTGGTTCATTAGGTAACCAACCTTAGCTCTATCTGATAGAAACGATCCCGGTGAGACCTCAAAGTGGTACTTAATTTGATTCAGAAATCCCCGGCATTCTTGAATATTACCATCAAAATGCGGGTGAGGAGATAGGGGGAAAGTAGGTGCCTTATGTACTATTGGTGGAGGTACTTTAGGCAGAGGTGACATAGTCAGAGATACCTCAGGCTGTAGATGCGCTGTTCAGGTAAGAAGCATACTGAAAGCCTGGGCAAATTGGTCCATACGGTGATCATTCTCCTCTAGCTTTCTCTTGCAAGCTGACACAATTCTGCAGTATCTATGGCCCTGTCGTAATGTCAGGATACTAGTTGATCCAGCATGCAGAATTGTGTCACACCTAGGACTAAAGATAACGTTTTACTGGGCCTTAGAATGGCCAGACTTAATGTACCAGAGAATAGTCAGGATACTTGCCGAGGTCAGAGGGAGACACAACGATGAGGGAAAAGCCGAAAGTCAAAAATACCAGAATATAGGGAAGTAAAAATTAAGCCAAAGTCAAAAACCAGAATAAACGCTCAGGAACACTCTCTCAGATAACCTACTAAGGGAAACCACAACAGGGCAATGAGGAAAAGGAAAAAGGAGTTTAAATAAGCCTCTTTCAGATCCGATTGGCCGTACTCGGCTTTTGACCCGAGAACGTGCGTGCGCGTCCTTTGCGTGACTTCACACGCACGTTGACGCCGTCAATACCATGGGTGGATGTGGGGTTACAAATTGGAATGGATCCACAGCGGCCGCTGTCCTTCAACATGCTGCAGGAGTCAGATACACTGGTACAGGGCTGCTGAGTGGCACCTCAGTTAATTCCAAAAAGGCATTTGTCATCACAGACACCACGAGGTGAGGATAAACATGTGACACCCTGGTTCCCAGATCTACCCGACATGTCTTGTGAAGACCCAATCCTGCTGCCAGAAGACCCGATGCTACTCCAGGACCCAGTGGAGAAACTTCATCCTGTGCTTCTGGACGGACACCTGTCCTTAGTACAAACAGAGAAAAGTATACACACTAGAAATGTATATAGTGGAAAACGTATAACTGGAAGTGATCCCAGGTGTACCTCACAAACACCTAAACAATATACAACCAAAACATAAAGTGGAAAACACCCAGAATACGTAAAAATATATATAAACAAGTTAAACAACCTGAAATCAAGTAAATATCCGTGGATATAATCTGTATAAAGAATCAAAAGGCTGACATAGCGTAATACAGTATTAAATGGAGTGTGTGATAAATGTGGTAATGAGTACACTCACAAACAAACGTGAAATCAGGCTTCTCACCCTCTCAGGGGTAATATGATGTATGATGAATATGAACTTGAAATATCATCCGATGGAATATATGTAAATAAAGGAAATCAGATATAGTGAAGTTTGTTATAAAAATACAAAATCACATTTATTGGTCGCACTTCCACATAGGAATATTAAGAAGAGCGTGTCTCCATATAACATGGAACTCCTGTAGAGCGTGGTAAAAAAAATCCAGGAGAAAATCAAGGAACAGGTTTATGGAAACGCCAAATACTGGTAAACAATAAAATACAAAATAAAAGAACATAAATTAAAAGTACATAAGGAGTCCTATTTTTTATAACAAACTTCACTATATCTGAATTCCTTTATTTAAATATATTCCATCGGATGATATTTCAAGTGACACACAAGCAACGGAAAGTCATGATTTTATTAAAGACACGGAGGCGAGTATTATCCTATTATGCTGCACTCTTTCTTTAATACCCTCAGCAGCAAAGAATACATTATTGAAGAAAAATAAACATTTGAACTAGGTATAACATCATAGTGACAATGTCCGCCTAGTAACATGACCATCCAATCAGTGCCATCCTTCTCCTATAGTAGGCAGAGCATTGATGACCATTTCCTCTTTCTTTCTTGCGTATCCCGAAGAATAAACTCAAAACTCGGAACAGGAAAACCGGATAAACCAACGAGCCGTAACAAGGCATGTGACTCCGAGAGATCTTTCAACCCAGTCATGCTAGAAGAGACAAGAAAATATGGTAATGTCTTGGACGCATGGGTTTTTATCATACATAGAGATCCACACGTTTGACTAAACAGTGACAATAAATCATAGATGTAGTAAGAGGAACTTCTAATCTGAGGATAACCATGACAATGAGTCTCAAATTAGATAATGCCCTAACGCATGTGAAAGTCTCAATATCGCCAAGATTGAACTTACCTCGCCCCACATCCAAGCCGTCCAAGGGCGGGTGGGTGGGATAATACTCGCCTCCGTGTCTTTAATAAAATCATGACTTTCCGTCATGATAATTGTAAAATCCTTGAATTTTATTAAAGACCCAGAGGCTCCTATTATGCTATTTCAAAGCTGCGATATCACGGCTTCTGTGAAATGCTGGATTGGTTTGAAATAGAAAATACGGAAGGTAGATTCCGCGGACCAATCAGCCGCCTTCAATATATCCTCCAAACGACAACCAGCAAAGGAGGCTTTAGAGGCCATGTCACCGAGAACCGAATGGGGAGAGAAAATGGAGGTATCAATACCTGCCAAGGACATGAGCCATTTCACCCAGCGGGCCATGGTAGGAGAGGAGACTGGAGCATGCGGTTTACGGAAGGAGATGAAGAGTTGGGGGTCCGACCCAGTCCGAAGGGGTGCGATGCGAGCTTCGTACGCCCGAAGGCACGCTACTGGGCAAAGGAGCGGCTTCGCAGGAAACGCTGGATACAGGACCGCCCGGGATGACGATTTTGTCCTCCATGAGATGTCAAAGACTACTCCTTCTGGAGTCTGACACTCTCTTGCATGAGATTAGGCACAACAGCATAACTAGTTTAGCTGAGAGTTGTTTCAAGGATAAAGACTCGTTGTCTGGCCACCTAGTCAAGAAATTCAATACTAGGGAGACGTCCCATAGGGAGGAATAGCGAGGTTGGGGTGGCCTTGCAAAGTGAATGCCTCGGAGAAGACGACAGACAATTGGGTGTCGTCCTATCGGGGCCCCATCAATGCCGGTATGGCCGGCCGATAGGGCCGAACGGTAGAGGTTTACTGTCCGTAGCCGTTGTAGCCATTGTCATAAAGGGATGTTAAGAATTGTAGGACTGTTGTCACAGGAGTTGATAGGGGATCCATACCCCATGCCACGCACCAACCATCCCATGTGCACCAAGCAGACTTGTAAGACTGTCTCGTGCCGGGTGCCCATGCACCCTCGAGAAGTCGGAGAGTCGATTGCGAAACTCCCTCGATCGACCAGGGTCCCTGGAAATCAGCCATACCATGAGGCGGAGGAGCCCCTGATGGATCAGGGGGTGAGGGTTCCCATCAGGGTCTCGTAGTAGAGATTGGGCATCCGGGAGGAGCCTCGGGCGATCTATGACAATCTCCAGTAGAGGAGGGAACCAGGGCTGCGACAGCCATAAGGGGGTTATAATCACCAAGCAGCCCAATTGGCACCGTAGGTGGAGAAGACACCGGGGAATGAGGGCGGAAGGAGGGAATGCATAGTTCCTGGCGGTTGACCAGTCTTGGGAGAAAGCATTCGTAGCCGAAGCCTTGGGGTCTGGCCTCCGACTGAAGAAGGTTGGGTGTTCAAACGAGAGGCAAACAAGTCTATTGACAGAGGACCCCACAGATCCCAAATGTGCTGGAAGATTTGGGGATCGAGGTGCCAGTCACTGGAATCCCTCATGTGGCGGGAGTACCAACCCGCCGTAGTGTTGGACAACCCTGGCAAGTATTCTGCCCTGATGGCCATGTTGTGTTGCAGACAAAACTGCCAAAAGTCCCGCGCCAAATTCGCTAGAATTTTGGATCTCGTGCACCAAGGTGGTTGATATAACAGACAACCGATATGTTGTCCATCTTCAGTAAGATTGAGCAATGGGACAGTGTCGGGGAGAGGCTGCGAATCGCAAAGGACCCTGCGAGGAGATCCAAGCAATTTATATGCAGTGTGGGCTCCGCTTCCGACCAGCGTCCGCCTGTGGAAATATCTCCGCAGCGCGCACCCCAACCGTAAGAGCTCGCATCCGACTCTATGACTACATCTGGGGCCGAGCCGAAGATGGCTTTGCCATTCCACACCTCCATGTGTAGGAGCCACCAGAGGAGTTCTTCTTTCGCTTCTGCGTCTAGAGTAAGAGTATCCTTGTATGAGGCGCCGTCTCTCAGGTATGACACCTGTAGGCGTTGGAGGGCTCTGTAATGAAGGGGGCCCAGGAATATGGCCTGTATGGAGGCTGCTAGGAGCCCGATCACGCGGGCCAGATGTTTGAGAGATATATGTGGACAGGTAAGAACTCGTCTTATCTCTTTCTTGATATTTTTCATCTTGGGTGTTGGTAAATACAAGGTTTGCATAACTGAGTCCACCAAGAGACCTAGGAACTCTATTTGTTGAGTGGGGGCTAGTATGGACTTTTCCCAATTTATGATGAATCCCAAATTCTGTAGCAAGGTTGTGGTCCAACCGAGATGAATATGGAGTAGTGAAACTGACTGGGATAGCAGTAGGATGTCGTCTAAATATATGATTAGGCGTATCCCCCAACTGTGTAGGAGAGCAATCACGGGCTTCATGAGCTTGGTGAAACACCAAGGTGGAGAAGACAGACCGAAGGGAAGGCAGCGGAACCGCCATTTCCTTCCTTGCCACGTGAATTGCAGGAAATCTTGGTGCATCTGCACAATGGGTACCGTGAGGTACGTGTCTCTTAGATCGAGTTTGACCATCCAGTCTGCTGGCTGGAGCAAATCTCGTAGGCAATGAATGCCCTCCATCTTGAATTGATGGTAGGTTACGTAGGTATTTAAGTGTTTGAGATTGATAACTGGGCGGGATCCGTCCCCCTTTTTTGGGACAATAAATAGGTTGCTCACAAAACCCGGGGTATGCATCGGGATTTCTTGAATAGCACCTTTGAGTGCCAAGTCTCTGACTTCCTCGGAGACAAGGGTCGTGTCTAGAGGGGAAAAAGCAATCTCCCAGGGTGGGGAGAGTTGGGTGGGTAAGGATATAAAGTCTATTAGGTACCCGTGGACAGCCCTGAGTATCCAGGCATCTGAGGTAATGAGAGCCCAGACATGGGAAAAATGTGTGAGTCTCCCCCCTATCGCCACATGTGAAGAAAATTGAGAAAGATAGCTTACCGTAAGGACATCTTCCGGAAGGAGCGCCTCGTGTACCTCTCGACACCCATGGTCTGCCTCGTTGGGGGAAGAAGGTCAGAGCGGACCTTTGGTCGGGAAAAGGGGTTCTCCCCACATAGGAGCCTTGACTCGGGCGCGAGCTTCTATTGACTCTGCCAGACAGACGGCCCCTTGCTCTGCTGGCCCCACCAAAAACCTTTGGGTGGAACACCCTTTTTAGATTTGATTGTGCCTTGTCTAAGGCCGTGAATGTTTGTACATAAGATCCCAGGTCTTTCACAAAAGACTCTCCAAAAAGATACCCTTTTGCTAGGGCTCCTGGCTCAGTAATTGCCATATTTACGAGCTTTGGTTCTATTTTAATTAGAATAGATTTACGACGCTCTGTAGCCAGAGCGGTATTGGCATTGCCTACGAGGCATATCACCCTCTGAATCCAACCTCTAATAGTGAGGCGATCTAAGGCGTCATCTTGTGCCAAGGATTCCTCCACGGCTGTTAAAATTTTGGTCGCTGGACCTAAGATATCCAAGACTTTGTCTTGGCAATTATAAAGCGAAAAGTCTAGACCTTTCTTAGGTTTCCAACCTGTCTTGCTTAAAAATTGTATGATCTTGGGATCGACTTGGGGTGTCTTACAGACCTCGTCTGGTACGGTGGGGCGTGGGCATTCAGCCCTCAGTTTATTACGTGTTGCCTTGTCCAGAGGCTTACGGACACGTGAGGCGACATATTGCGCCACATGCTCGGCTGGTGACCATTCCGCAGAGCGGGGGTGTCAGGTATAGCATGGCATGTAATTTATCGCCGGAACCCACTTCCGGGTTCACGGCGCTCAGCCCCGCCCCTTTCTCTGACGCGGTCCCTCCACGATACTTAGGAGGACCGCGCCAGATTCAAAGGGCTGGATTATTCGCACAGGTGCTGCATGAAGATCAGCTGCTCTACTTTGATCCTACCTGCTCCACTTCTATACCTCGGCTAGTAAACGGATTTCTACCTTCTCCACTTCTCGACCTCGGCTTGTAAACGGATTTCTACCTTCTCCACTTCTCGACCTCGGCTTGTAAACGGATTTCTACCTTCTCCACTCCTAGACCTCGGCTTGTAACTCTGAATTCTACCTTCTCCACTCCCAGTTCTCGGCTTGTTGAAACGGACTTCTAATTTCTCCTTCATTGGGTGAATTAACCCTTCCAGTGCCAGAACTGCCTTTAAGTTAAGTAATACTTTTACCAAACAAGTCAATTACTATTATTTATATTACACAGTATCTAAAACTCACTAAAGTGTCACTTTGTCTAATTATTCCTCTTACTCATAAGGG